CCTCCCGGCAGGCATGAGGCTGGCTGGTGGCTTCTCCGTGCCACACGCCGGTGCAGAGCACTTGCTGGATGCCTGGGTGCCCGCCCTGTCCTTCCCATCTCTCTCCAGCGTAGCTGAGAGCCCCCCAAAGCATTCATCTCAATTTTCCCCCTGCACGGGAGCTCACGTCCCTCTGCACTGTGTCCCACCGGTCTAGGGGCTGTGGGGTGTTGGGCTGGGTAGACCTCTGGACCTTGGGGTTCGCTGAGCCCGGGGTGATGAGGCTCATCTTTTAAAGCTAATTTACGGTCATTTGCGTGAGCCTGGCTGAGCCACGCTTGTGCCGGGCCGGGCCCTGTGGTGAGACCCGCCTGGCAGCGAGGGCCTTGGGGCAGCGAAGCTTTTAAACCTCCCTGGGCAAAGCACCTCAGTGCCTGCTCGAGCACAAGCACAAGCTCACTTCATCCCCCCCGCGTCACACCCGCACCGGTGTGCCCGTGCGGAAACAACCCAGCCACCGTTAAACGTTGTCGGTGGGAGCAAGGTGTCCTGAGCTGTTCCTCGGGACTCGCCCTGGTGCATCGCCTCATGGAGCACGTGGAAAAGCTTTGCAGATAAGATCTAAACTCGTGGAGAGAGAGGAAAAAAAAAATAATTCTGAAAAGTGACTTCAGAGTGCTTAAAAATAAATATGAGCGTCAACTGATTCAAATCCGACATATTTTTTTTAGATTCAGTATTACAGAAGAGTTAATTTATGTTTTTTCCTGACAGCCAGTGTGTATATGTGCACATCTGTCTGTAACGGGAGATGCTTTAACACGGTGCATGATCAGGAAGCTGCTCACAAACTTGTGCTGTTGGTGTTTATATTAATTCATCATTTGAAAGCAAAGAGAATATTTTTTTTCTAATCTACATTTTATCCAGTGAGGTCTGCACACAGAATACAGTCTTTAAGTCTTCTTAGATAGAGATTAAGAAGGAGGTGCTATGTTTGCTTGCTGTGTCTTACTAAGTGTTAATATCCCATGTATGCTGTTGGAGTTGCTGATGTGGAAGGAGCAGCAGCGGGGCGGTTTTGCTGCAAGCCGAGGGCTCAGCTGGGAGGGGACTGCGCTCCCTGTCCTGCCCGGAGTCGCTGTGCAAAGCCAGGCTCTCCTTTTGCTTCTCGTCTGCAAAAGGAGGGTGATGAGAGATTTCAGCGTTCCCCCAGCCAAACTCCTTCCAGCCGTCGGGGGAGCTGAGAGGCGGACGCGACTTCGCCTAGACCCCGCTGTGGTGCCGGGGTGCAGCGCCCGGCCAGTGGGGTGGCACAGCCTGGCAGCCCGGGCACATCCCGGCGTCCGCCGCCCGCTAGATGTTACTGCACTGCAAATAGCTAACCGCGGCCGAGCCCACCAGCCACCCGTGGGGGCAGGGGCTGCGACGAGCCTCCTCCTGTCCCGCACCGAGGCACAGCCGTGCTCTGCCTCCGCCCGGGGCTGCTCCCACGCATAGCTAAAATACGGATCTCTCTCAAACCCTGCTTCAGAAAAGGACATTTTGGTGGCAAAGGGTACATTTGGCTCAAAGCGACCTGTGCCAGCCTCTGCGCCCAGCGCTGGGGCCGGAGGGGTCCGGCAGCACCCCTGCAAGGCTCCCGCTGCTCTCGCCGCCCTGCTCGCTCGTGTCCAGCGCCTGCTGCCTGTGTCGTGTCCCAGACATGTGATCGTGAGCATGTCGCACACCTTAATAAAAGCCTTGGAGGTGAAAGAGCTGAGCCCCGGGTGCATTTGTTCCTCTTTTTTCCCTTCACAAGCCTGCTGGGCTTGCAGCCGCCTCGTCTTCACCACAGGGTGCTGGAGCGTTGGCGAGCGGCAGGTCGAGGGCGCGGGTCTTGTCACCCTCCTCCCAGCCCTGGGTACACGCGAGCGGGTGACACGCCGTACCGACACTGGCAGTTAAGCCATGCTCAATTTAAAAGCCTTTTTGCTTTTTAAATCTCAAGGGTGACACCGCTCCTGGCTCTCCCCGTGGCCGTGGGGCGGCAGGGAGCCGGCACTGGGGTGAAGGATTTACCCTCTGCCCCAGGGAGAGCCTGGCTTGAACCGGGGGGACCGGAATCCCCGGGGGCACCCACCCACCCTGCCCTGTGGCCTCTGCTAATGGGGAGGGCTGGGGAGGCAGCTCGGGCAGATGGGGATGGCAGATAAAAACACCTGAGTGTTGACCCAAAGGTGACTTTGCCTCAGGCCTTGCAGAGATTAACTAGAGATGAAAAACCCGGAGCTGTAGCAGGCCTTTGAACCTTCCTTCACCTTTTTTCCCCTCCTTTCCTGCTTCTCCTTTACAGCCTCTGACTCTGTGGGAATTCAGGGGTGCAATAGCCCCTTGCACAGACACGGGCTGGGTCAGAAATTCGCCAAGGGCAGAGCGGCTGCACTTTTCTATCCTTACGTGAGCCCTGCAGCTACCGGGAGGTTTGTCCCCAGCCCTTGGCAGGTTTGTTGGGACATGCGTGTGCTCGGCTTTAAGGCCTGTTGTCCGCCTCGGCAGCTGCCCACGGAGCACACGCTCCAGCGGGTTTAGGGGAACATGAGACCTCCCAGCCCTGCAGAGAGACCGAGCGATTCTCTGTTTATCTTGGTCAAATGCTTTACACAAATAATTATTTCCAAGGTAAATATTGTGAAAATCCAGATTATTTGCTCAAGAAATGAAAGAATAACTGCGGGAGCACATCAAAGTGGCGGATCTGCTCCGCAAGCAAGAGGCTTCCTCCTCGGTTATTGGGAGCCCCGATGCTTATGCCCCCAGAGCTGGTTCGAGATGGCCAGTACTGATTTGCAAAATCAACTTCAGACAAGAGTTTTTTCCACCCCCCCCTGCTCCGGTGCCCAAATGAGATTTGGGAATTAATTAAAAACCCGACCAACTGCAGGGGGAAAAACAATAGACACAAAAAGCTGCAAGGCTGAGCCTGGGCCAGCTTGAGGGGGGAGCTGGGACCCCACTGTGCCCCCGGGCACTCACGGCCTAGGGGACTGTAACTCTGCAACCCCCCACCCCTGTGCCCAGTGCTCAGCTCCCTCTGCGAGTGCGGATCTGGCCCCTGATGCAGGCACTGGCTCAGGGCTGGGGACAGGGATGCACCCGAGGACCACACCAGGGCCATCGGCGATTTCCAAGCCTCAATAAATAAGGGGCTGGATTCTCAGCTCGCAGATGGATAACGCAGCTCTTGGGGGGCTTGGAGGAGATACTCCGGCTCCGAACCCCCCCCCCCCAGGTCAGTGGGAAGGCTGAGCATTGCCAGCAGGGTCTGGATCGGGCCATTGCATGGGGTGGGCAGAAGTGGGGAGCCATGTCGGGGCTGGGGCTCGCACGTGATCGCTTCCACGGCACACGGGAGGGGAAAGGAGCTACAGACCCCGGGGCATGTGAGTTTGAATTTCCATGCACAGCAGACAGGGCCCTTTTTTTTTAAGGTCTCCTCTGAAAGTTTATTGTTATTATTGTATTAAATCCCTGTAACACTGGACTGGTTTTACTGCACAAAGCAAGATTTGGCAAATGTTGCCTTTCTTTGAAAGTTAAAATAATAGCATTTAAAAAAAAAATCAAGTATTTATGAAGCTTTGGAGGGAAATATTTTACCTTGTAATTTGAATCCATTCTAACTCTTTCCAGTATTTTGTGGGCTTAAAAACCAGCCTTTAAAAGTAAAATTGAATGATGTGATAACTGATGCCATGAAAGCACAGAAGAAAATTAGTCATCTCGGGCCATTAACATCCAGAGATCCAGACTGGGACACACTTAAAGCATCCCGGGATCCCCTGTTTATTGTGTCTCGGAGACTTCCAGATCTCACATGTTGGGTTTGCAGCGGTAAAGGGGCTTTCCTTTGCTCTCAGCTGGCAGGGTGAGCCCAGCTGGGGCTGCTTCCCTCGCCCCAAACGCCGCACCCGGGCAGCACCCAGCGTGGCGAGGGGCTCCGCACCCCTGGACAGCCCCAGGTTCCCACTGCCACCGTCCCTCCCTGCTGCATGGAGGAGCGAGACTGCCTGAAGAGATGATCTCAGCCCTTATAGGATCCATATGTGCCGCCATGCTGGGAGCACCTGCCACTGCCTGTGAGGTCCTGGAGGTCAGTGGGGAACAGAGGGGGGTCTGTCCTCGCTGCACCCCGTGCAGGGCTCAGCCATGCCGCCTGCGGGCACCTGAGCCAAGGGCTGAGGGCCTCTTCCATGCAGCCCCTTGTCTGGCACGAAGCAGCACGATCCTGAAGCCCCCTCCAGAAGGGTGGGAGAGGAAAAGGGAGAGGGGGTCCGGGTCCAGGGCAGGAGTCAGAGGGGACCTGCCCTGCTCCTGCCTGGTGAGCATTGCCCGTGGACTCCCAGATGGGTGGCCTGGAGAGAGCCCTGAGCACAGGACGCCTTTGCTGCTCCTGCCTCTTAGCAGGGAGACGCTCCTTGCCCAGCCAGGCTTCGTTTTCCTGCAGCCCTGGGTAAGCGACACCAAGCAGTGGGCACCCGAGGGCTGGGGGCAGGTCCTGGGGACTCGTGTGTGGCCCCAAGCCTCGGTGCATCCCTTCTCTTCCAGCGGTGTCCGCTGGGACAGACCCCCCACAGATGCCCGACCTGTCCCTGCAGTGTTTGGGGACTGTCCCAGAGCGATGCCGAAGCCGTCCTGCAGCCCAGCACCAGCACTGCACCGGAGCCATCGTCTTTCCTCCCTCGGCTGGGCGATGAGCCGGGGCCGCATCCTGCACTGCGCTGGTTGAGGTGCTCCTGCACCCCACAGCCTCTGCGCAGCCGCCGGTTGGTGACCTCTGCGAAAGCTAAATATAAACCCAGCAGCACTCTGAGCAATTGCATGCCAGCCCAGCCAGAGCACCGCTGACATTTCAGCTTATTGGGGCAGCAAGCGCCGTGCTCTGGATTCAACCAAAACCGCTCAGCCCCTTCCCTACCC